TGCAAAAGCGAATTTATATGCAAGATTGATATAGGGTAACAAAAATTGTGCCAGAACTCCCATTTTGTCTCTACTTATGTTTTTAAATAAATTTAATTTAAATGATTTTTTTGCATAAATTTATATATAAAATTGGGTGAGTCAACTCATTTGATTTATATATAATTGCACTCAGTTGGACATGTCCCTTGACTGTTATTACTACAGTTTCGACTCTCACTATTACTTCCACTTTAATAGGCCAATATTTCTTTCTTATTTATTTAACAAATTTCTTCACCTCGTACTAAATAGTTGATTTTATCTAACGTGCCTGCGATAAAAATACATATTTATTTGATTTATGTGTTTGTATAAAAATTCTTTTTTACCCCATGTATTTAAAAATTTTATTTTATTTAATTTTAATGTTCTTATTCAATGTGCTTGCTAAAAAAATTTTCTTTGTTATTTTTGTTACAATGATTTTAAAGTCAGGAGTTAATTTTAAATTATCATTTAGTATCCCAAAATCGAACCTAATTTTAGGTTCAATTTTCGGATTCGGAACCTAAATCAGGACCAGCTAAACCGGGAACCGGACATTTCTAAAAAATCGTAGAGTATGGCTTTAAGGCTTCCACTTCGTTTCCCTCAGCTCCAGCCAATAAAGATAATTTAAGGGGTAAATAGATACGATGACATTGTAATTGTATCTATTTACCCTTAAATTATCTTCTATGTACGCTTGTTTGTTAACTTTGAGGATCAATTAAGGATCCCAATTCCGCAAATCAGCCGATATGACCATGATCGTAGCAGTATTTGATTTTTATGATTTTCGGCGTTTTTTAACCCTTTAAATGAAGCTTACTCGATAACCACCAAGTCAAACTTGATGAATTTTTTTTTTTTTTCAAATGTCAAGATAGTAGAATTAAATTTTAAAAAAACTATTAAGTGTAAACACGTAGTTGTTTATAGAAGATATATTTAAAAAGGATCGTCACATGTTTACATAGTACAGCCAATCAAAATGGTAGAAAATGGGTACAGTAATTAGTAAATGTGATGCCGCATACATACGTACGTACGTCCCTGCATTGCAATCATGCATGCGAACCGAACCGAAGACCTGGAACCGACCCTGGATTCGAATTCAGGACCGTTATTTTTTGGAAAATCCGGACACTACCGCTACGTACAATTATTTAGAATAATCGACAAGACCATCTATCTAGTAAGATCGACATTTTTATGTACCAATTAGATATCTGACCACAGATAGACGTAAACATGAACATCACTAATTTTTTTGAAAGCCACTGATACGTAACTCAAAACTATACTTATGAAAATACTTTCTGCGCTCTAGCTAAAAAAATTTCTTGCTTTAACTTAATTTTGATTTTAACCATAATAATATTTATTGCATTGCATTATTTCAACCGTTTTTGATAAAATCTTATATATTGTGTTGATCATTTGAAAAATTTGATTTGTGCATATTTTGTCTGTAATACAGGGGTAGCTCACGATCGCACAGCCACTTAAAATAGGAGAAATTTTTAACCAATCATATCATAAAAAATATTATTAAGAGTAATATTTGCATATGACTTTGTGATTAATTGTTTTTCCCATATGGTATGATTCCTTATTTCCTTAATTAGATTATGAAACATGAAAAAGCAATACATGTGTATCAAGTTGTAATACGCTCAAATATAAACAAAATGTCGTTTATTTCTCGCTTTACACCAAAGTTCTTTTTATACCCGAACAATGCTGGGTCGTTCCCTTGCAGTTATAATTGCAATACTCTTTATCTATATTGATTTTGTCCTTGCTAGTATGTTATCTTCATTAAATAAATCCGTATTTTTAGGATGGCTAAAAAATTATTTTTTATAGTCGAAATAGTCGAATTAGTAATCATTACTATAAATTGAGCCGTAATTTAAAATCAACCAGCTTGTTAAATATTTCCTTAGTCTCGCTAACATTTATTTTCTTTTTTTTTTTTAAAAAAAAATTACAGTTACTATAATTATTGACACACCAACTAGTCCAGTTGCCACTGGTTCTTCAATTACAATCTCTTGGGGGATTACAGAGGAAATACCGACAAATCCTTATGTCTTAGAAATCATCAATATAGATAATGAAGCAAACATAACAATAAACGGTACATTAGACCTTAGCGTCTATAAAATAAAATGGATAATCGATGTTGAGCCGGGAACTTATAAATTTGTTATCAAAAGCCTTGATAAAAGTACCACATGTTCGTCTGATACATTCACTGTCATAATCGGTATTATTAACATTTAATATTTTTGTTTAACATTTAAAAAATAAATCATAAATTCTATCACATTAAATTATTATTTTATTTCACAACATTAGTGTCTGTAGCAAATTCGCCTTCCTTAAATTCATCAACACCTTCATCTCAAAATCCTCAAAACCCTCAAAATTCCCAAAACCCTCAAAACCCTCAAAATTCTCAAAATTCTCAAAATTCTCAAACATCACAAATATCACAAGTTATAACTACAAGTTATTCTATTACTAAAACTACATCTTCACCCGCTACTTCTTCTACGAACAATGCAGACAAACCAGAAACTAACCCTAATACTGGTCCTAATGCTGGTCCTACTAATACTGGCACAAATAATTCAATTATATCTGTGAATATTTTAGGTTTTATCGGTATAACGGCCGGTGCAATTGCTGGAATTATGCTATTAACAACCGGTTCCATAATGATAGCAAGGAGTAGACAAATTCCTTAATTAACAAAGAAGGTCTATATGAAAGTGTTTTTTTCGTGAATAATAATTGGTATAAATTTTATGAAAAACGCACTAGTTTATAAACAATAATTTATATTTTTATAGACTTATATTAAGTAGAATAATAGCATTTTATTACAGTACATATTTTTTAGATATTTTAATTTATTTAAGTTCTTTGCATCTTTTTTGTAAGCTTCAAATTCATGTATGTAATTGTATTTTTAGTATAAACAATTTATCAAAAAAAATTTCTTTCACTCAAACCAGAATCTTTATTATAATAGGTTTTAAGATTGAGTAATCTTGATAATCGTTTAATTGATAATGAGCGACAGGTGGCTTATACGTATTTAGAAATATTATCTGTATTATTTGAATATTGTAAAATGAAAAACTGGAAATCTTGCTCATAAAGATTTTCATATACTTTTATTATGTAAGGGTACTAGCTCATCATGGTAGATCGATTTGCACTTTTTTAGTATTCAAATAACAGCGGGAGAAAAATATATATTAGCAACCCACCCAAAGCATGAGAGAGTTAACGTCACTTACGATTTGATGTTGAAATTGGCGCCAAATAGTCTTATTGACACCAGTCATGTGCTGCGTGTTTAATGATGTCTAATGAATGATGAATAATAAACCATAAAACATTTATGCTTTTCCTTTCATGTAAAATTATTCCATACAAAATCAATATTATTGCATTATCAAATCTATCGATTTTCTGATTTTTGACACAATTATCCGATATTACTCGGTGGTCAAATCAGATAAGTTTTTGATTTCAGATGTTCCATACACAGTTTGGAAAATAAAATTTAGAAAGCCTCCATTTTGAATTATTAATTTTAGGTGAGCAATTTCATACTTTGAAGGGCTTTGGGAATTATCAAGCACCACATTATATGCGATTTTATAGTGACCGAAATAGTACGCAAGTACGTGTATTATAACGTAATTTAAGATATTCTCATAATATTTTTTTAAATAAAAATTCAATAATAAAAATGGTAATTATCACACTTACTGTGATTTGCTAATAATTGCAGTGATTGATCAAATTGCATGAATGGCTTTTAACGTTTCTTAGTTTATTAAAAATTATCGAAGCAGATACAATCATAATAAGTAGTAGTAATTCGGCTATCTTTGTTGACCATTTACGTATTTTATCAATTTTTATATTAGTTTACAGACTAACCGATGAAATCCGTTGAATCTATCGAAATTTAAATTTAGGGTTTCACGGGACTCGATTCGAGAATTCGGTTCAAATTAAAAAAAAATAGCGTATTTGAGAAGTTAAAATCTCATTTGTATAGCAAAATTTTGGTCAGAAAACGAAATGGGAGCGTTTAAATACCCATTTGACGAAACAAGTAAAATTTCTTCGAATTAAGTTTATTATAGGCGACCCTTTCCATTTGGTACATAGGTGTGACGAATCATTCTATGTGACAAATAATAATTAACTAATATAATTAATTAGTAAATTCTTATTCGTCACATGAAAATTCGTCACGCTTATGTGTCAAATGTCATCTAAATCCAACTTTCTCCGGTCATTAATTCAAATTGAAAACCGAAATATAGTTTTATTTGATTCAATTCATTATTATTATTAAAAATTCACAAACATTAGATTATCTTTGATACTTTTTCTCGAAAAGTGTTGCGCATATGTGAGAATGTTTTGAATGTATCTAGTCAATGGCGCCAGATATTTTTATTGAATGATTTTTGATGTGAATATGCAAGTATCAATGAGCGAAAATTTATAATGGAAAGATTGTGATTATTAAAAATTAAGTAAAATAATAGAATTACATATAAAATAAGCTGTGAATTTGTTATCTTTAAACAGCGAAAATACGTTAACAATCCGAAAATCGGCGAATCTGTCACTAGAAGGAGAGCAGCTTCGTATAACCGAAGTTTAGGTACCGAAATTTAGGTTATATTGGGTCGAAAAAGGCGTGTTAGATTTGGCGAGTGATTAAGCAGAGTTTTGGGATGATTTTAGGATAATAAGGGTATTGTAACAATTAGTGAATGTATGCTTTTATTATGTGTATGTTTAATAAAGACACTTTTATTATTATAGGAATGTATTTAATAAAGCAAAAGCAGGAAATGATGTTCTCGAAGGGTCAAAAGGCCTTTATTTATAATTAATCTAAAATTTATTATATTCCATACTCTCTTTTCACCATATTCAGATAATCCTCCGAATTCTCCGAATTCCCGGACTTTTTGGAATTCCTCCGGTAGACCAAGTTTAGAATTCCTGGGTACGTGGGCACATGCCTGCGATCAGGTCACGTTTCGGTCTCACAACGTCACTATATCAAACATTAATAAGCAAGGATGAAATCAAATAATTATATAATTTAACTTTCACGTTTTTTTATAAAACGGGTTTCATAACAGTTTCATAAGCATTTCATAACAAAAAAAACTAAGCAGCAAATCAAATACACAATCAAGTAATTAATTTTTACTATAATTTTATAACAGGGACAGCGTGCAGTACAGTACAGATTTTCCGAATCCGGGCCGCATATCATTTCCGATCTGGCTGATAAAATTTAAAAATTTTAAAACTTTGAACGAAGATATCTCAACTAGAGATGTACCATAAGCATTATGCAGGTGATGTTGCATGCTACATAATGCTGCATAATGCGATGCCAGTTGCCTAAAATTTAAAAATGCACATAGAAGTTATTATGTAATTTTGATCCATATCATTTCATCAACAATACTTTATAGACATCTGTTCCTATCATATTTATAGCCTGTGAAATTCAATAAAAAATTAATCTACCAGGTCTGTTTTCACTATATAAATCTAATATTTTATGTTTTCAAATCCGATAACCTCTCAGTAATAATACATAGTCTGTTCACTGTATATAGGTTTTAAGAGGTCACAGTATATTATACAGAACTGCATAATGTATCATGTGACATAATGCTGCATTATGTAATGCAAGGCCAAAAAACTTGCATTCGCACATCTCTAATCTCAACGACCACCTGATTAAATTCGATGAAAAATTTTTTAATTGAATTCTACGAATCAGTTAAATTCAAATAAAAAAAATTTTAATCGAATTTTGTCAGGTGGCCGCCGAGATAACTTCGTTCAAAGTTGGAAAAATATGAAAACGCTATCAAAATAGAAGTGCCGAATTTTTTAAACTTTAAGCGAGATATTTCGACGACCACCCGACCAAATTTGATGATTTTTTTTATTTAAATTCTATAGATTCATAAAATTCAAATAAAAAAATTTCCACCGAATTTGGTCAGGTGGTCACCGAGATGTCTTCGCTTAAATTTGGAAAAAATTCAAAATGTCTATCAAAATAGAAGCTGAATTATTTTAAAACTTTGGGCGAAGATATCTCGGCGAGCACCTGACCAAGTTCGTCGGATTTATTTATTTGAATCCTATGAATCTGTAGAATTCGAATAAAAAAATTTTCTTAGGTAGTCGTCGCTCAAATTTTAAAAATAATTTGGCGCAGCTTCTATTTTGACGTTTTGAATTTTTTCCAAATTTGAGCGGTTATCTCGGTGACCAACTGATTAAATTCGGTTGGGATTTTTTTATTTGAATTCTACGAATAAGCAGAACTCAAAGAAAAAAAAAAAAAACTAGGTCAGGTGGTCGTCGAAATATCTTCGCTTAAAGTTTTAAAGATAATTCGGCGCAGCTTCTATTTTGACAGACGGTTTGAATTTTTTCCAAATTTGAGCGAAGATATCTCAACAACTGCCTGATCAAGTTCGATGAAAAGTTTTTTATTTGAATTTAACAGATTCGTAGAATTCAATTAAAAAATTTTTCATCGAATTTAATCTGGTGGTCGTTAAGATATCTTTGCTCAAAGTTTTAAAAATTAAAATTTTAGATTTCAGAGCAAGATCGGAAATGATCTGCAGTCCGAATTCGGAAAATCTGTACTGCACGCTGTCATGTCATATTTTTATATTTTAATCAGGCAATTACGAAATCATCACTCAAATAAAAAATTCCGCCCATACGCTATTGGAGACCGCTTAAAGTTTTGCATTTAATCCAACAGAAAAATAGAAGATAATAAAACTTTTAGATTTAGTTGGATCGTCGATTTGCATAATTTTTGTGTCTCGCGAGTCCTGTGATTACAATAGGGTAAGCACTTCAATTTCTTCCTTTTATTGATAAATAAGTTCCACAAAATACGACGAACATAATTACTGTATTTCGCGTAATAACGTCATGAGCGTTATTTCGAAAATCGTGCCCCTAAGAATAATACGTAACTTTATATATTTTCAAAATATTGCCTATGAGCGTCCCAAAATAGCGCGTAAGGAGGTTTATTTATAGTAATATTTAAAAAAAAAATACTTCAGAACTGGATCTAAGACTAAGTAGAACTTCGAGCTTTTACAAAAATGGTCTGAAGAACAACTTTTGTTAAAGCGCAAAGGAGGGTTTACTTAGTACTAAATCTAGTTCCGTAGCATTTTTTGGTTGTTTAGTTCTTGGGAAAGTTGTCTGTGTATCGACATAATTTAAAGTGACCCAATGAAAGTGACTAGTAGTATAAACTCGTGTGCTATTTCAAAAAAAGATCTTTCATGAATCCGGATCTACTTGATATAGTTATATTTGGATCAGATCTGAATATTTGTTCAATTCTTTCCGTGCGGAACACTACTTATCGATCATCATTACGGTTAACTTCACTACGATTCAAACCGGATAACAATCTCGGCAAGTGTTTCGAGTTTATTTCGGATTATCCAAAGGATATTAAAAAAGATCTCTACTGAATAAAAATAGTCGTTATCCATCGGATCATCCAATGAATTTTCAATGGATCCAAGCACTAGATAGAATAAACTAAAAATTCCATTTAACGATATGCATGTTTGATTGGTTAAAATCACATTCCAGAGTTAATTCCGGACACATTTCGGACAAATTTTGACTTATTGATTAAGGCGTTTGAAAATACCCTCACTACATGTAAGCGAATTGAATACTAATTGGTGCACAAATCGAATTATGACGTTAATTAAAATAGAATGCTATTAAATAACATTCGTAATATATACAGTATAGCAACTTTTTTAAAAAATAATTGATTGCGTTGTGGTACATTTTTTAATTGATGATGCCACAATTAACTAAAGTCATTAATCTTTAATTGTTAAATTATGCGGTATAGTGTATGGACTTTATTATTCTATATCATTTAATAACACATCTACTTATGTGGGTACAGAAAGAAAATCATTATATAGGCTAGCTAATTGTAGAATTTCATGAGCTGACGAAATGTTTCAGACTTTTAGTTTAGAACAATATTTAGCCAATCGAAAATTTTGAAACGGATACACCGTGACAGCAGAGTAACTTTATTTAAACTAAATTGATACGAAACATAAATACGAAACGATAAAAACGAAACATAAATACGAAACCAAACCTATCAACTTTAATTATTAAGAATAGGAGCGCCAGCGACAATTTATATACTCTTGTAATAACTACAAAATTAAATTGTTTCTCCGATTATTATTTTGGTTCGATCTAAGTTTGAAAAAAAAAATTTAATCATGGGTAGTTTGTAGTTTAGATTTATTTGAAGAAATTTTAGCTTAATTTTATTTAATGAAATTTTAGTTTAATTTAATTTAATGAGATTTTAATTTAATTTTATTTAATGAAATTTTAGTTTATTAAGTATAAACTGTAGTTATATTTGTAATTTTTTTTAGGATACTATCTAAGTTATTTTTTCGTTATTAAATTTTAGAATTATAAATTTATTAATTTAACTACAAAAAACGAAAATAAAGCACTTACGTCATATCACTTTATGAATCGATTGAAATCCATATTGGGTGATCACGGGTCATTTATAATAATTAAAAGTTGTCATATTTATGCAACAATGCAATTCGTATTAATAAGGTGATAATCAAAAAGTAACTGTCATCTTTGCGGTAGAAGCGAATGTAAGTTATTAGTACTTCAATTAATACATGAAATGTTAAGAAATCCAATAAAAATATTAATTATTTTTCTTTTCAATTTTATATTAGTGATGAATAATGGTTGTTATAAAATTCTTTGATGATCTTTCAAAAGATTTTTCTCAACTTCTTGAAGAATCTGATGATTACGATGTTACTATTCAAGCTGGCGAAAAGTCAGATGTCAAAGAATTTAATGTGCATTCGAATATTTTGCGTGCTAGATCACCTTATTTTAAAACCGCTTTATCGAATAAGTGGGCAACCCACAAAAATGGGGTTATTGTCTTTAAAAAGCCGAATATTACCCCAACTGTATTTCTTTTGATCCTTCGGTACGTTAAATATTATAATATAAAATTTTTACATTATTTTTACCACAAATATATATTTATTTACTTTAATTTTATAAAGATATATCTATACAGGAACTCTTGACCTAACTAATCAATCGGGCACCAACATTCTTGCTCTTCTTGTCGCATCTGATGAGTTAATTCTTGAAAAACTAATTAACCATGTCCAAAATCATGTAAGACTACTTATTTTCAAGAAATGTGTGCCTAAAGTTTGCTTATTTTTTAATTCAGAAAATTAAAATTGATTAATTTAGCTCATCAATGACGAATCATCTTGGCTGAATAAAAACTTTGTCATCGCTTTGCACACAATTTTTAAGCTCCAAAGTTGCACGATTATACAAGATTATATCTTGAAAACTATCTGCGAAGATCCAAAATCATTTTTTGATTTAAAGGGATTTCCGACATTGGATAAAGATATTTTTCTAAGACTTGTCAAGAGAGATGATTTGGATATTGAAGAAATTGATATTTGGAAATATTTAGTAAAATGGGGAACAGCTCAGATCGTTGGTAGTAAAAAAAGATCCAAAACGGATATTGCTAATTGGGGAGAAAATGATTTTGAGTCATTAAAAAAATCTTTAGAACCGTTTATATCATATATTCGATTTCATGAAATATCTCGAGATGATTTTTATCATCATGTAAGACCTTATAAAAAAGCGATACCAGAAGATCTTTATGAAGATTTAGTTGGCTATCTGATGGCAAACATAAATCCTAAAATTTCAAAATTGCCCTCACGTCTTGGATCTATTAAAATTGATTCTGTTATAATTGAAAGAGACAAAGCTGCAATCATTACTAATTGGATTGAGAAAAGAGATAATTTTTTCAGGAAACCTTTTTATCAATTTACTCTTACTTATCGAGCAACACGCGACGGATTTGATTATAATAACTTTATTGCAAATAATTGTAATTGCGTAGTTCTTGGGTTAATTAAGGTCTCCGACTCGGGAAAGATAATTGGTGGATATAACCCTCTAGGTTTGAGAAATATGAACAATTATAATCATAACTATAATAGGGGACGTCTTCATCGTGCGCAGTGGGAAACTACTGATGATAGGTGAGTTGCTATTTATATACGTAATTATGTTTGATTTTATGGATTGTATATAATTATTTTTCCACAACTGTAAATTTTATAGTTTTATCTTTTGTTTCGAAGATGGAAAAAGTTCTGATGACCATATACTAAGTCGTGTAAATGATCCATCATACGCAATTTATAACTATGGCGGGAATTGGATGAATTTTGGAAATGCTGATTTAATAGTAAATGGTCAGAACGGAACTTGCTCGCAATGTCATTATGAATTGGAGATTTTGGATGCCAATAATTTTGTCGTTGAAGAGTTAGAAATCTTTGTCGTGCAAAAGACTCTAACAAAAAATTAGCGCATTTATTTGTATTGTATTTTTTTTTTTTTTTTGAACTATCGATACAGAGGTTTTTTTTTATTTTTGGAAAATTTACTTTAAGAAAAGTTAGAGTTTTAAAAATATTCTGCAAATGTAAGAATTTTTGTCTGTATTTTTTTAATTGTTATGAAGTAATTTTGTAACAAATTTTGTAAAAAAAAAAAATAATAATAATAAATGTTATTACTGATCCTGAAATTTAGAGTCGAAAAAAATTACCTCAAATGAATTTTTAAATTTTAAATTATAATTTAGCAAAGGCCAATTTCAGAATAACAAAGGTGATAGGTAAATACTTTAAGTGTTAAAAAGTTACAAAAAGCCATGCATGTTGAGAATGGTCTAGTTTTCTAAATTAAGTTACGTATTCATAAAGGTAGCTTTACTGCAATAACAATGTTTCTTTAATTTTTCTTTCGCATTCACTTTCGTTAGCATTTCATTTAATAATTTAAAGAATTATTCTCACCCTGATTTCCATTTCAAATGGTGTTTCAGAATTAACTTTTTTTCAAAATAAATGAGAGTTTAAAAGATCCTATTTTCTTTTTTAGAATTCAGAATCAGAAAATTAAATATGCATAGCCGGGGATAAAATTAGTTTTTTTTTGATAAAAATTCATCAGTAAACGATTATGTAAATAAGTACATACTTTAAAAAAAATAGAATTTGTTCGTCGCTTCTTTTGAAATAAATATACGTCACTTATTTTATCTGAAATCGGACGCCAAATCATTAATTCTGAAACCCCCAATATATCAAATTTGCACAATTCAATTATACGTTATGTAGGAAACTATGGAAAATAGTGCCGCCTCCCATTTTCCTGAGTGCGGTTCTTTAACCTTAAAATATTATATCACTCTAGCCTATTTCCTCTAACTCTTTTCTCAGAACAAAGTGGGTGTACATATACTTGGACCAATTTTTTTCTACTCAGAATAGTGTGCTGCCTAATTTCTAAACGCGATCACATGATTTCGCTGTGTTGAATAGCGTCGTATCGTTACCTAAAACTTAATTTCCTTTGGAAAGGTGGGCGGAAAGAGCCCTTTGATTAGCCAGAAAATAGAATTTCGGCAACTACTAAAAGTAGCGAAAGAAAAACAAATCCCTTCTTTGGGTTTTGTGGCTTACTTCTGCTATCATTAGACTTGCAAGAACAATGACCTCATCATTATGTAAAACTCATTGACCTATGACATCATATAAACATCACAGGTCCAGTGACTCAATGATCATGGGTCAGTGATAATATTCTTCGTCACAATTGGTCTTAAATTTAATTTTATACGCTGTCAATATATGAAATTGATTTAGTAAAGGAAGTCAATTCACCACTACTAAACATGTCTGAATATGATTTTTCAATATATTCAAGTGCTATTTTGGTTATTCAATTCTAACAAAAACACTTTGCCGTTTTAGTGGTTTTTTTATCTACTCGTCGTTTTTAGGTTCTTCATCCCAACTTATTTTTATTAAATTAGCAGGAACTGTTTTACTAACAATTCAGTGGTCAAATAATACTCTGTTCTCTTTTCAGATTTAGTATGATTTTAATCAGTTTCCTTTTTAAGTTTTTGGCTTTCTTGGATATTTTCCGAACACAAGATAACAATGGATAAGAATTCCGTGTTATGCTAAATAGAGGGATACAAACATTCATAATCACACAACGTACATAAAACCGGAGTTCATTAGTATAGTCACATTGCAAAAGTGTAAAAGATAATACACATTTTCACGATTAATACCAAGACGATTAATATCAAAAACTAAGATTTATTTTCGTAAATATTTTTTTAAAAAAATAACGGCTAAAATGCTATGAATAATTATAAAACAGAAACAAATTACATTTATATATGTATAAACGTTAATTTTAAGTCTCTATCTAATTAAATGAAAATGCATGAAAATATGATATTGAATTTCTTTTACTGCGTAAAATTGAAAAAGAAATATGTATAATAAGTAAAATTAAGTATTAATAGTATAACGCAAAAAAATGCAAGTATAAAATATACAGTATTTACCTCGAGCATGGAAGTATAAGCGACACTTTCAGTTAATTTGTAATAGCTATTTTTACAACGTATAGATTCTTCGTCCCAGAGACTTACAATTGAATCTACAAGATGGTGTGGTAGTTTGATCTTATCAGTATTTAATGATTCTATATTCGAAATCTGATCATTAATAGTAATAATCTGTGTGTTCCAGAATTCGTCTAAAATAGCAATATTGTCTTTAATTCCTGGAAACTTGTCTTTAATATGTTGTATAAATTCTGATGTTGGGGCTTGATCGAAGTCATCTTGTTGAAAAATCCAATTTATCATTTCTTTTATTATGAAGCTGGTTATAGCAATTAGAGCTATAACTAAGCAACTGAGTAGTAATAAGGGGTAATAGAGCACGTCTTTTACTTGATCCATAGTTTTACTAATTAGCCATCGATCACAAATTGATATGGCATTATTTCCACTTTCTTTTTTATTCCTTGAATTAAATGACGACGGATCCCGATCTATACCAAAAAATTTAGACATAATATATGATTAACGAGCAAGCTAAAAATTTAATGAAAAAATTTTTTTTTTAATCTTACCTTTTAGATTCATTAGTAAGCCTTCACAGATTTCATAAAATGTCTCATTATGTTGCAAAATGTAATAATTCTTTCTTGCACAATTTAATTCATCTACTGAGCTTTTATCATTAATATTAGAAATCAAATGTTGTAATTTTTCTTTTCCGTAACTATAAACATTAGAAAAAGATTTTTGCAATTTCGCTTTCTTATTTTCTGAAACAAAGCTCTCTTCAGGTAAATGTTCGCTACTATCTTTTAATCCAGAGTCACCTTCTAAGAAATATTCACAAATTTTATAACCGTCATTTGCAGAGAAATTAAAAAATGGCTCTTTTGTATCACCTAAAGTACGGTTACTACATTTTTCTTTATCCTGATTAATAGGTCTGCAAAATTCTGCATAAAATGAGATGTTTTTTTCATCGGCAAACTTATTGTTTTGTAAAGCAATAGAGTATCCCAAATCTGCGTACAAATAAGTATTGTAAGTTATACCTATGAAGAGAATTAGCATGCAGCAAATTATAATAGCCGGGATTGATATTCTGTTTCCATTATTTAAATCATTATAAAAAGAAATATAATCATTCAATAATTCACTAGATCTTTCCTTTTGAACATTAGCCGTTTTCAATAATAATTCTAAAGTTTGTTTAATGACATTAGTGTTCACATTTTTCTTGGTGAGTAATTGTAAATATTTTACGACATCGGCTAAATATTCGGACATTCTTAAGGATTCCATAGCTCTTCTCTCGGTTAATTTATTGAACACAGTTTCTAGTCTATCCAATTTTTTATTTGAGACTTTATTTTGTAATTCTCTACATTTTCGAAAGTTAACTAGGATCTCTTCGGTAATTTCTTGAAGAATCAAGACATCCGGAAAGGCCGGATTTTGCCATAATTGCAAACTCATGGAGACCATGGTAAAATGTATTAAATTCTGATGAATTAAAAAAATTTACAGTTTTATTAACGAAAGAAATGGAAATTGGCTTTTTTTAAAGCAATCGACAAGATTCGGGGATTATTTAAGATCATAACTATCCCGTTTTTTTTTTTAATTACGTAATGGAAAACTTTTGCATCTTTAGGCTAACGGCGTATTTATATTTTAAGTTAGTTCAAATAATAGGTTTTATATTTGACTATATAATTTATTTATATATATAATAAATTAATAGTTAAACTGGTCACATTATGACAATATGCAAGATTATCGTGTAAATTTTATAATTTTGGTTCATTACGAACGGATTTGTTCAAATAATCTAATTTAAACTATAGAAGATAGTTTAAATTCTATATTATTTTATACAGAAAAATTAGCCCAGTTACAACTTTACAAAAATGGAAACAATGAAGTCATTACTACAGTATCTAATTTACATAATTACGTATTAGGATGTAAATAAAGTTTAATTTGTCAATGTGTAGCGTGAGAAATTTATACGTACGTATGCCTAATGCGTACAGCTCATCATAAATTTCTGACAGGTGTCGCAAAAAACTTGTGACTAAAGTATTTTGGGGTCTAAATTACCATCCACAAAAGCAGGAAAAGAAAAAAGTACGTACGTACGTACGTATGACGTAAACACTGTACGTAGCGTACATGCCAGAAACAATTATCGATCAAGCCATACTAAAATTGCTTAGCACACTAAATCGCTTAACGTTAATCTAACCATTATACTGTATACTATCATTTATTTTCGAACACCTTTAACGATCGAATAAAAAAAGGATTACTGATAATGATCATAAAGATATTTGTAAAGCCTTTATTAATATGTCACTGAATCTGAAAATAACTACAAAGGCCGTAGAAACTGAATTTAATGTCTTTTTTTTTCGATTCTCAAAGTTAACGATTCATTTGTTAAACGTAAAGAAATGGCATTTTCTACTGCAAACCGATTTCATATAACGATTGACTTAGCAAATATACTGATATCTTAACGAATTTTAAAAATTTATAATAATATGACAAAATTTCTTTTATTTTATTTTACATATTAATTAATAATATATAACGATAATTATTGGATGCGAAGCAGTCATTATCTGCTGTGATGTCAGCTTCCGGGCCCGAAGGGACCCACATATTAAATTTACTGCCGAATAAACAAATTATTATTGGTTGAGTTTTTGGTAGTGATTACGTAAGAAATGACGAAGTTATTTGGTAGATGACGTATCGCAGCCAAAATGAAATTATTTAGTAGGTGACGCAACCATTGCTAAATAACGAAAGCACTATCATCGTAAGCTGCTGGATAATTAATTCGCTATTTACGTAATTCTGCTTAATTGATAGCAAAATATTAAATCATGTAAACTTGAAATAATAGATCTTTTAATCCATATTTTTTTCATACTGGATATAGTTAAGCTAGATTTTAAGAAAGAAATTTACTGGACATTTGATTTACTTATTGCGAGTTTTATTCGATTTCTTTATTTTTATTATTATTATTACTATTAAATGATTTTAACGTGATGTGCTATTTCAAATGACGCTTACAAAATTATTAAATGATTTTAACGTGATGTGCTATTTCGAATGACAAAATTATTCGCTGGATAAAATTGTTTCTATTAAGTAAAACCATTCATTTTACTTCTGGATGAACCTATTTTTATTCCTTTCAAGCAAACCATTAATTCTTTTTAAAATATTACCATCAATTTCATTATAAGCAAGATTCAATGTAGTTATAGTAGTGTTCGTATAAAGAACTTCTGTTAATATTTTTCCTCCATCAGAATTAATGTAATTTACTGAAAGATTCAAAGAAACTAGAGTAGTATTCTTACATAAAGTCTTCGCTAATGATTTTACTCCTTCAATATTAATATTGTTAAGACTAAGATCCAAAGAAGTTAAAGTTGTATTTTTACATAGTGCATCAGCTAATGCCTTCACAACTTCAATACCAAGTCGATTACTACTAACATTTAGAATAGTCAAAGTAGTGTTTTTATAAAGTGATTTTACTAACGCAATTCCTCCTTCAACACTAATTTGTTTATGAAGCCTTAAAGAGGTTAAAGATATATTTTTACAAAGTGATTCTGTTAATATTTTTCCTCTTTCAGCACCAAGTTGGTTATGATAAAGTTCCAAAGTTGTTAAACTTGTGTTTTTATAAATAATATCTGCCAATGCCTTTTCCCCTTCGGAATCAAGTTTGCTACTACCAATATATAAATAGATAAGAGTCTTATTCTTACAAAGAGCTTCTGTTAATGCTTTACATTTTTCTAAATTGAGTTCACTTTTCCAAAAACTTAATCGTGATAAAGTCACACTTTTAAAAAGAAAATTTGCTAATAAATTCGTTATTTTACTATCGGTAATTTTATGAACCCATAAACTTTGAAGTCTATTTGATGTTCGTAAAAACATTGCAATCAAAGAAGATTTAATCGCTTGAACCAAATTTTTATCTTCTTTAGAATAAATTAAATAACGAAGTCCACCTTCTTCATTAAGCCAATTAACGATTCCATCACTTGAAGAAATTTCAATATGTCTAATATAAGAAGTGTATTCGAATAATGGTTTTGAATTATTATTTGGCAGTATTATTTCAAATGGCATTAATAATGTTTGTTCTTCTGCATTTAATGATAAAAGACATGTCCTGATCAATTTCTTATTTCGTAAAGTAATAGGTCGACGCCATAATATAGGCACAACAATTCTGCACCAATTCCGATTTATAAAAAGGCATGAATATAATGTATTATTATTTAGGTTAATAAAGATCTCGTAAAGACATTCATTTGGCAATATTATCATTTTTAAACGTTAAATAGGTTAAAAAAAAGTATTTGGGCGTTTTATATATATTACCAAGTCGCAAATCCTTACCCAATACTGTAAGCATGACATCATATCATATCTGATATAATTTTCAAGTACGTGGTGTTTGTAAGATACCCAGATACAAATCAATGACCGATTTAATAATAATTTTTTTTCTAATGGATTATATCGGGATAAGTATAAAACTAGATACTGGAGTAATATTCTGATGTCATTTATAATGACTTGTATTTGCGCGACGTCATCGCGCAAAACCAGGAACGGAAAAATCTAAAAAGAGATCAGAATCAAAATATTTTATTTGTGTATAATTAAAACCGAAATAAAAATAATTGAGATTATGTAATGTCCACGACTATTGCATATTTGTATAACATATTTGCATGTATTTTTTTTTGAAGTAAATCTGCGATACTAAATTTATTATTTGCCGAATACAATTTCTAAGTGACGGGCTTTTCTCTTTGCGACACATATTAAAGCCCGTCGTTTAACGACGAGTCTAATATACTAGTAAATAATGAAATATATATTTTTTAAGGTTTAAAATTCTTATAAATTCATAATTTTTTTTTTGACTCATGATTATAATACGTACTTAAATCCGTTGTGTTTTGCGGAATTCATTTAATAAATACACCTGGCTGGTACACACCAGTTTGCTCCGGTTCTCGTAAGACCAAATAATTATTCGTATAGTTAGTTATCTCTGTGGGAATCACAAATTTTATACTAGTAAAAGAAAAGGACAAATATGTGAATAATAAAAATGGTAAAAAGTACTCATGAAAATTAAGGTTGTCGATAGAAACGCATCGGGACAAGTACAGTGAGCCATGTGAATATAATTAATTTACGAATATATTAAATATTAGAATTTAATGTAGGTAGTTCATTAGCAATTTTTACTGTTTATTGTGGTAGATGCATTAGCGTAAATTAAGATTTATATTATTTATTCATAACTGCGCAGCGCAGTTGCGCTAGAAACCAGGAATGTATGCGCAAGTAGAATATATCGTGTTCTGAAAATACAAAGATACAGGTTTTCCTTTGCATACGTACAGCATATACAGTGTTAAGTTGATCTTAGCATTTATATATGCACATATAGTTGTCAATCGTATCTGAAACAAAATAATGCAATATATAATTGATTTTTGTGTATCAAAATATTAGTAAATTACTTATGAATCTGAATAACTTTATACATTACTAACTAATAATTTCATAACTAGGGATGTTAATCGGTCCGTCCGGTCCGTCTTTGTCCGAAGACCGACGGTCTTTTAAAAAGTTGGACCCGACCCAGGACTGATTAGGACCGATCAGTATGAGACTGGACGGATCGATTATTAGACTAATTAAATGCTACATAAGTTGCATCAATATTATTACCTGTTATTATTATAGACTCCATTCAAATTATTAGTTTATTACTTGTTTATTAAATAAAAATTAGTATCGTGATTGAAAAAGTCACTATATAAGGTTGGAGTTCTATACATGCATGCACTTGATTTACGCTAAAGAAATTTAGATTTTCCAAATTCAGAACAGTTATATGTAATTAAGTATTCGCTGCTTAGCATATGACTTTATATCAACTCAATAAAAAAGTTTTCTCACAACTAATTAGATATTTTATTATGTACGTTGTGAAGGGCTCCCGGGGTCCTCATTTTTTTTTTATGTTATTTTTTATATATTGATATCTCGTTTTTCTTTTATTTTATTTCGTTATCTGTCTTTTTTATATTGTTATTTTGTTTTTAAGAGTCGGCAAGCCCCGTTTTAGAATAGTAAGTTACCCTTACCCGATTTGGAAGAGAATCCATAATTATCAGAATTCCGGGAATTATGTGAATTCTGTGCAATTATGTGAATTCTGTGAATTTTATGAATTTTGAGAACCCTTAAAATTTCCATAATTCTCAAAATTCCCAGAATTATGAGAATTATGCGAATAATGTGAATAATGGGAATGATTAAGGGAAGCCATAATGCCCGAAATAGTTAGAATTAGGAATAATGTGAATAGTGAGAATAGTGCAAATAAAAAGCCTTAGTTAAAAATAGAACTATTCAAT